CCATCAACTTCATGCAAAGAAGTGCGTCAGAAATGGTCCACCACTAAAGCGTAAGGAGAACCGATTTTCCAACGGTGACAAACTTTTCTTTTTTCCCTTCCATGATAATAATTATCACGAAAGTTCCCGTCAGCCTGACAGCGATGATGATAGACATAGTATTTAACTTAACAGTCATGGAACTGACTGTCTAAGAAGCAATACAATTTTCAGATAAATTTCAAGGAGAATTTAAAGCGGAAGTAATTCTTCCCTTCGCCAACCATCAGTGATATCGCATAGACGACTAGAATGACTTGGCATCGAACTGTCCACTAATTGACTTTCTCGAACTTAGAGACCCAAAGACGCCTCACCCTTAAACTGCCAATTCTGATGATTTTGTGGCTTCACGATATGGCTGAGATAACGTTTGCTTTGGAGTAAACATCGAAAAAGATCGCAATTTGGTGACAAGATGTTCGACCGCATGCGATCACAAAGACCCAGTCTTCAGAAAGGCTTGGTCGAATGAGCATCACGAAGCGAGCTGAGTTGATTGAGTTCTACATGAATTGAGTTTTATTAACCATCTTGCCAGAAACAACAGGGTCAGCTGTTCCGTGAAAGGCAATCGGCGGTTCAGAGCTCCAGCAGCTCACGTGATCACAATCTCACATTTATTTAAGAAAATGTGGCCAAGTAAATCAACAGACCCACACCATACGATGCGGCCATGTTTTGTCTCTGGTGACACGTCATTGAAACTGGATTCACCAGAAAATCACGACAAAACCGAACTCAACCTTTCATACGCACTGGAAATGGCGATCGTTTAGAAGACTTTCAAAAACTTGGTAGATATGCGATGTAATCGTCACCATTTTCATTCACAAACGACTAAAATCGTATCGTTGGCCTTTAACTTTAACTGGTTGCCGTGAATGACGAATTGGTTCAACGAGGTAAACGTGAAATGGCAATAAGATAAGTAACAAAACAAGTTATGCAATAAAAATTTTCAGCCGTTGAAAATAGGTTTCGTCCCGTTTTTACTAACAAGATATTTGTAGCACATAGTTTTGCAGTATCCCATGACAGGCAAGTGATGAAATGTGCAAAACCAAAGGCTAACCTGTGCTAAAGATGAACTATCCAGTCCAGCAGCGTATCTTCATGCATGCATTGGCATGCAAAAACCGATCTTCGTTTCCTTTGACCTAATGATATGAAAATGTGCACACTTGGTCAGCAGGTTCTGCATCTAGGCTTTATTAAGAGTAAGCGAAAGGAACGGACAAAATGAGAAAATGTAACATTTGGTAAAACATTTCACTTACTACAAATAGTGTAACGTTAGCCTTGCCAGCGCTGTTTAAACACTCTTGAGTATCACTTCTCTGAGGCACAATTCTCTGAGGAGCCAAATATATAATGAAGGTGACCAACTAGTGGTGACCATCAAATCGCTATGCGACTGCTTAATGTGACATAATTGCAAAACGCTGTGCCTTTCAAGACGTGTGTCGATTTCAGCTAGGAGTGTGTCTCACCTTCTCCATTTTACACCATTTCTGAATACGAAACCAGTGGAAAAAGCATGCTATGCTCGTGCCTACTGAAATATGGGAAAGATGGTCCGTTGTTACTAACGATCTAGTAAATCTGTGCTGCTAGGAAGCGTTGCGTCAGAGTAAATGACACTCAGTCGTCATTCTTAATCTTTCAACGTTCGCTCTGGTCTCCGCCAATGGTGCACTCTCTCCCTCACCTACTGCGTTGTACATGGATGGGATTTTCAGGCTGAGCTACGGTGATGAGAGTACCAGAGTAGAAGATGTAGAGACGAAAAGACTTCTGCTTGCAGATGACCTTGTCTTGTTCGCATCATCCGAAACTGATTGCCAGCGATTTCCGGAATGGCATGTCAAGACCCAAGGGTCAAATGCTTTTTCAAATGCCTCTCGCTTCCCTGTTCGCTACGCTCCGCTGAGAAACGGAAAAGAAGTAGAACAGATGGAGAAATTCAGTATCATCGATCATCCATCAGTCGATTAATGTAGTTCGCCGTCTCACACAGGTTGCACGCAGGGAACTTAGGGCCATTTTCGTTCGAGCTGTCCATTATATTCGATCTCGGCAAATGGTGTTGGTTACTATAATCCGTTGAGCATATCGTCGCTTGTCCTTTGCCTCCACTAAATGAGGTTCCCTCTGACGGTTTTGTGAGGTCAGAATCTTTTGGCAGGCTCTGGCACAACAATCTTTTCTCTATCGATTTCCTGTCCGCATTATGGAACAATGCCTCATTTCTCAGAGGATTCTTTCCTTATACGTTAAATTATCCTTTTGATGTGCACCGTATGATGAATTTTGGAAATCGTCTCGTGTTGACTTAATGAAGTCTGGGATGTAGATAACCAATGACATGAGGCAGTCTAAGGGACGAAGATATTGTTTAGTATTATCACAATTTGATATGTTTAAGTATATTTGCAAAGGAGACAAGAGTTTCGTGACATTCTTGCATTTGATTCTAAATGAGAACACATTAACTTCACTCCAAGAATGATCCATATAATATACTATACAATTCTCTACCATAAAGCATAAAATTTTAAACATCCGCTTTTCTTTATTATGCAGATATTTGTACTTTGCACTATAATAATGCAGTGTGATATTCAGTGACTATTGAACGAGAGTTAAAACAAAATTAGTGTACCCAAAATCGGATCATCTGTGCATCCCTCTGCCTGAAGCTTATTTGCGCACATATTTTGGAGGAGGTATTTTATGCTTCGAATACTAGGTGACAGATTTGTGGAACTAACGGAAATTAAAGCCTACTCTATAGTTTTTGCATTAATGTTACAGATACGATTCGTCTAAGTCACCTAAACTGGGCACAACACTTTGATTGTTCACCGATGCCTTTGCAATCTACCAGTTGGCCAGTTTTTCAGAACAGCAGTTGTAACGCCTGACGAAACCTGAAGCGTATGTTCCGATGATTGACCTTGTTTTTTGCTAGAGGTTGTTTATGATCGTCAGAAGAAATAAGCTGTTTTTGCCCGAATGATCATGCTGTGAAGTTCAGCGCCAGATTCATGTTTACCCATGTGGGTTTACTGAGCATAAGGCGTGCAGGACAAAAACAGTGTTATGCACCAAAAAAGAGGCAGATACTGAGGCCGTTTAGGTTCCAACATTACTACACCTGTAGCACCACAGGATACAACTTAAGTAAATAGGCAGAGATGCATAAAGCAACCAAAAATTGATAAATTTTTCATGCGATCCTACCACTACGCTAAATGATATGGCATTCCAAAGTAGA